AGGAGCTTGCGGCGGGGTCGCTTTGCATTCCCAGTCCTCTCCTCCGCGGGTTACCTGCCCGGCCCAGGTGGGGCGATGCAGAGCGGAGGAGGCTGCTTTGGAGGTTGCCGCCGCCTCTGATGGATGTTTTGCGTGTGTTTACCTCCGCTCCCGGTTTCTCTTTCATCTGAGGACGCATCTGGCTCAAGCTCTGTTAAACTATCTGCCTTCTGGTACCGTTCGTAGATAACAGAAAGAAACCTGAGCCCGAAAGGCAATTCCCCACCTTCTTCCACCTAACGTAACCTTTTCAGGCGCCTTTGAAGGTTTGCTGGTGCTCCGGCGATGATGGCAGTGGTGGGTTCCCTTGGGCTGTACTAAGAGCCTCTTGTTTTCTTTTCCCTTTCTTCTTAGAGGCATTTCATCTTTAAGGGCCGGCTGCTTGCGCACACTTTTATATCCACTGAAGTGATCAAGAAACCATGTTGTCTGGTGGAAGGAGTGCGTTTCTGTGCCTTGGAATGATCTTGAGCTTTTGGAGCTCCGCGAGTTGGATGCCTGTTGGAGGATGCCCGCATAAATGTACATGTATCGCTTCCAACGTGGATTGTCATGGACTAGGACTCAAAACTGTACCGAGGGATATTCCCAGGAATGCAGAGAGACTGTAAGTAAAAACCGTTAAGGGCTCCTCAAGTACTTGTAGAAGCACCTGGGGTGAGTTTCTCAACACCTGCCTATCAGTGCAGAGTACATACTAACAGCAGTTTCAGTAATCAAACACGGATTAATGTTTTCAGGAGGGAAGGGGAGGAGCTTTTCAGAAGTTACAGTTATCCTGCTGCTGTTCTCGCTTTAAAAAAGAACAATCAGTTTCAGAGTTTCACGTTTTTTCAGCTTCAGTTACCGTCTGATTGGGTTTTGCAGTGACTTGCTTGTAATGGAGTTTAGAGCTCTACCTGGAGTGCTCCCAGCAGTAATCATTGTCAATGCAAACACCAATTTAATATGCAATTATAAACCTGGATGTTTTCACCTGGTGGCTGGTAGCAGTTTCTCCTTACTTTCTCAGCATGGTGACTTCATCACCATGGAAAAATCGACTACTGCCATAAACTAATTCAAATGGGCAAGAAGTCACATTAAAGCAGCTTCTAATTTCTGTCTTAAACTGTTGCGGGGAAGCTGGTTATTTAATTTTTCATCTACTTCAGGGTTTATGATAGTAGTATAATGTTGCGGGGTGCTTCCAACCTCGGCACGGCAGAATGTAATGAATGTGTTCATAGTAAATCTGTATCATAAGTTCTCGTGAGTTTTTTAGTTGACTCTTGCTTAACAAGTTTTTAAGAAGAAAGCTGAAAGCCAACTTGAGTTCTCTGACACAGTTCTGGCACTCGCTTGGTGCAGAGGGCGGCATCTCTGACGTTGCTTAATGCACAGCATATGGCATATTTCAGAGAATGCCCGGTGTTAGATATGAAGATGGCCAGAATGGAATGTTAAGCAGAGCTTCAGTGCGGCTCTGCACTGGGCTCCACGGATGACCTCAGGAAGGTGCAGTTAGTTGTGCTTTATGCAGATTAGCTGATAATTTAAAATGCTTTTGAACTTGTAAGCAAATGCTGTAGATTGTGTGGCCTGACTTCCTATTTTATTTCCTTCTGGGTCATAAGAGTTGGGGAAACTTCAAACTCTCAAGCAATTTTTCTTCCAAGAAAGCAAGCTAGATGAGGTTACTAAGCAAACAAAGTTTTTGTTCACAGAGTCCTCTTAAAGGCTAAGTTCTGTCCCAGAATGAAATTTTATAGCATCCTTGAACGTTTCTAAATGCATTTTATAGTGCTGAGAGCTCTTAAATGATAGCAACATGCAGATTTCTTACTACACTGTTCTACCATCTTTAATGTTTTGTGGCCATATCAGCCTTCCTTTTAATCCCAGCTGTGTGAACAATAGTTTTCAGATGTCAGTGTTACAGAAAGCTTAACTTCTGTGCATGAAACTGTGTACTCTCTAAAACTGATGGGTAGCAACCTGGCAGTTTAGAGACGACAAAAAAACCCCCCAAACCAACCCCGAAACAACAAACACCACAACAAACCGCTACCAAAGTAGTATACCAAGCCAGTCAGAGTAAGTGTGATAACACAAATGTTTTGTATGCTTCATTGGTGAGGTGTGTTTATGTGGTTTTAAGAGTCAAGGGCTAGAATTAAACTTTTAAATTTTGGGTTAAAATGATTCACAAATGTAAGGTTAGTTGGCCACCTGAGAAGAATTTAAAAAATGGTAATTTGTTATTGCCTAAGTTTTAGGGGGACTGAAATAATTTTGTTACTGGGTTTCGTTTGTGAGAATGTATTTAATAGAGATGTGAACTTTCCTTGCCTTCTGTAAGAAGCTAAGCCAAAAGAGTAAGTTTCTTGGCCTTGGTATGTTAAGTGTTAAAAAGAATGAAAGAGAGTGGAATTGCTGTGCTCTTGGTCCTGATAATTTTGGTGTTATTTACAGATTTAAATTTTAGATTAATGGCTGCATGAAGAACAATAGTAGCTATTTGACAATATTCAGTTTGAATATTTAACCTCAGAGATATACTACTGATAAATATGAAATGTAGCTGTGTTGGATGTTTTGTTTGGTTGGTTTGTTTTTTTAAAATAGCGTAGTATTGGAGCATTCAGTGGCTGAAACCTTGTGGAAATAGCATACAGAGGATCACGTAGTAACACATTATTCCATATTTTTAAATGCTGTCTTCACTTTTTATTCTGTTAGTCCATCGTGAGCCTTTCACTGTTTTTATAGTGTTCGCTGTCGTCTTCGTTACAACTGTGTTTTAAAGCTTCTATCAATTCTTTCAAATCTAGATTTCTACTAATTGCATTAACTTGAATTTTCTAATGTAAGCAGTAGAGAGAAAAAGACTTTATAGTCCTCCCAGTCTAAATTCTGCTCACAGGTGAAACATCAGTCAGCCGCTGGACATATCAGAGTACCTCATTTTTTTCTGTGGTCCACGGCAACCTGTAACTATTTATGACATAACACTGGGCTGATGTGTAGTGTTTAACTGGTTTGTTTAACTTGTAAATAAACCCAAATTGATTACATCTGAAATGACAAAGTTATTTTTAATCTCAGAGAAATGTTTGTATGTTGGAAAAATAATTTTATCAAGTTTCTTGATGGCCACACACCAAGTGGCTTTTTATACTCAAGCTATGAAAAGGGCTTCGCTTCTTTCTGCATTGTCTTGAGCTAAACATGCTGCATACCTGTTCAAGTTGGAAACTTTTTGCTTTAATTAATAGGAGATCTAATGGCACCACTTAAAATATTTTGCCACTAAGCTTTTAGAGTTATGTTTGTACAAATGTTACAGATTGTTTGGGCTAGTGGAGCCAAGTTAAATATTATTTAAATTTGTGTTAATATGAAACCCCAGGAAAACTGAAAATAAACATTAAGGAAAAAATGGGAACTCTCTTTAGGGGAGGGGGGGAATCTCTTATTGAGAAGTTCTGTTAAATGAACTAGTGATCATCTCCTGATACCCCAAGAAATGGGTATCACCAGGGCTTTGATTACTGATTCTTCGTGACAAATGTGATGCATAGGTTTTTTGGGGTTGGTTTTTTTTTTTGAATGCTTTGAAGATGCATTTTTTTGTAAAGAGTTGTACCTGTGATTTCTGTCTTGGGGGGAATCCACAGATGACCCAGTGATCACAGAAACAGAGTTGTAAAACTATCCTGAATTTTTTTAACACAGATTCATCTTTAATAGTAGCTTTACAAATATAGCAAGTAGTATTAGGTTTGTGTTGCAGTTTACCTTGTTATTACATTCTATGATAGTCTTCTAATTGTGTGGTATGGATTGAAGCTTTTGCTCAGTTAGGTTTCGTGAAGAGCTAAAAAGAGGTGAACGTTGTATACTACTGCACAAAGAAATGATTCAATCTGGAGAAAGTAAGTGGTGAAACAAATATTTGTCACTTCCAGGGAGTAACTTACATCTACCTTTGTTCTAGAGAAGGAACCCTCAGAGTAGCCATCATCTCACACAGGAAGAGAGAGGCATGAAATTAAGTCTAAGACTTTTCCCCAAATTGTGAGATGTGATGCTCCACAGAGGACCTTGTACGTGAGCAGGATGATATAGCTGACCTTGTGGCTTGTCGTTTGTATTTACTGATCCATTCCACATTTGCTAAGTAACTTAACATCCTACCAAAAAAAAAAAAAAGTAGTTTATAGACCTTTTGTGTTGTGGAGAAAACTAATAATTTAATAGTTAACTTTTGGGGGGTGGGCACAGTGATTCTTTTATTTAAGCTATTCAACTGATAAGATGTTTCGTGCTAATAAAGGAAGCAGAAGTTAGGGTTTAGAAATTAAGAATATGTAAATACATCCATAAAAATCTCAAATTTTTTACCTTTCTGAAAAGTTCCTTAGGATTGCTTCATCAAACTCTCCTAATCAGAGTTTGCTTAGCAGCGCTTCTGTTCTTATATGTGATTCTCTAAGTAATTTTCTTCAGTGGAAATGTTTTCTATGTATGTAAAGTATTATACATGTGGCGTTTTATAACACTTAATGCTGATAGTCAAGTTTAGTTTGAGACGATGTGTAAATGCAGGAGCAGATCAAAGCCACCCCCTTGACAGTTGTATTCTTCAGCTCTGAGAGGAACAAGTGATATGGAGAAACTGCTCAGAAGTCTTCTGGGTCAATATCTGCTTTCTGTTTGAATATGAAGCATGAGCCTTTGTGTTTTTTCCTTCCATTCATGCCTAGTTATCTCCCTGTCTGTTAGCAGCACATTGTATATGTATAAAAGTTTCTTTGGAGAATTTAGCCATGTTTGAGTTCTTGAAGAATTTATACGTGGTGGCTTAGATTCTTGTTTAATTGATAGCTCTCCTGTGTTAATCGTTGCTTTGTTTTGTCTTTTACTTTGAAGGATTCTTTACCTTGCTAAATTGATAAAGCTTGCAGGACTAATCTGTTCTGTGCTTTGTCTGAGTTGCTAAATTGAGTGTGTCCACATTTAGGTGCAATTTAGAAGCTTAGTCATCTGCTTACTCTGGAGTTTTCATGTGGTCTGGGGTTTCTGTTATACAAATATATTATTATGGTGTTTTTGGCCTAGGTGCATGTAGCTGCTGAAGTTGCACTGGCTTGTAATAAGTCTTCAACTTCCTCAATTTTGTCTCCAAATTAAATCTAAGCTTCTGTCTTGAATGCTTCCATATTACTGCAGAATGCGATGTTAAACACATGCAAATATAATTATACTGACTCTTACATTGACATTCTGTTTTTCTAGAATTCTTCCTGCTAGGGATTACCGCTCAGTTGTTTGTGTAGTAATAGTCTCCAAAACCTTGCATGGAGTCTTCCCCCCCCACCCCCCACCCCCCCTAGGTCATGTGTCAGTAAGTAGACATACATGGCTCTGGCTTTGAAGAGCTTGCTCTCAGAGGTACTGATTCTGGGAAAACTTGACTGAGTTGCTTAACTTAATATGGATACTTCCCTTTACTTACTTAATGCTGACTACTTGGGCTTGACTGGACATTGACATGCACTTGGATAGGATCAGAGTCTTGCACTATTAAATTTGTTACCTTGTTTTGAAGTGATGGAAACAGGA